TATATATATATATATATATGTATATATATATATATATATTATTGCTAGCAAAACAATTAATAAAACCTCATTTATTTTCCCTCCAAACAAGCTACAAAAACATGTTTACTTTATTACATTTTTTTAATTAAAACCTTCAACAACTCACTAATAAATGAATATATCATCTACATATGTAATTGCTAAAAAATATTAATAAACTATTTGAATTTTCTGCATCTTTTAGTTATAATGTAATATATATTTAGAAAAAAGGTAACTAAAATTAATCAATGAATTTTTAATAATGATTAATCAAAGTAGTCATGTTTTCCATTATTTTATTATATAATAGTTATTACTAAAACTAACCAATTATAATTCACGATTTTTTAATAAGCTAATTGACTTTAATGGTAAAGTCAAAACTCTTAATAATAATAATAATAATAATAATAATAATAATAATAATAATAATAATAATAATAATAATGATAATTCTTAAGATAATTAATAGGTCGGGTTCTTTCAAATTTATAAAACCTACATTATCATTTCATTCATGGAATCAAGATAGTGGCGAAATTAAATATATTTATAATGTTCATTTTAACTAATGATAGTATTTTTAAAATGTGTTATTTTTACTAACTTATAATTTAGATAAATAATCTATATATATATTAAAAGCCAACCTATTTACCAAAAATAGTAGCAAGAAAAGTCAACACACATTTAATGCATACCTTATTTGGAAATTTTTTACTATATGCATTAAATGCTTGCAAATTTACATTTATTATCCAGATATGATCTTAAAGATTTTTTTCTTAAATAATTTATGCAATGATTTTACTGATATCCATTATAATTAATATTTGTCGAGTAATATTTTTTAACCTTTATTTAATTATATAAAACTAATATTTTTTAAAAAAAATAATATTATTTATCATTTAAAAAATAATGATCACATGATTAAATGATTTTATTGATGGTTAGATAATAAAATTATATTAGTTATTCTTTAAAATTTTTACTAAAATAAAAACTGGCTTAAGAAAAAAAATCTCATAACATCCGATAAGTAAAAAAAAAGTATGTAAAATCTTTACTAAAATAAAAAATACTTTATTTATTTGTCTTATTCCATAATAACATCGATTTAGTCAAAACAAATCCCATAATCGGTGAAGTCAAAAAATGTACGTAAAGCCTATTTATACTAAAAAAAGGCAGATTCAAAATTCCTTATCTAATTTCTGTTTAAATCATTTTATTTAATATTTATTTATATGAAATATTGGATAAGATTGTTGGATCTGAGTCAATTTTGAAATCGCGTTTGTTTGGTATGAGAGGATTATCCGCATCCTATATCTGTCTAAAGTATATTATTTTATATTATTTAATTAATTTATTTAATATTAAATTTTTTTATCCATGATATCAGTTTTGTCCAAAAAAAATGGAACAAACAAACAAATAAAAAAGAAACGGGATTAATTACTTTCGACTTGTAAAAAATTTATGGGTGGACGTAAATATTTAACAATGTTGTTTCAAGTTCCTTAAATAGTACTATAACTATGATGTTGAAATATAATATGTTTTATGAGTGACGTAAATATGTTGTTTAAAGTTCCCTAAAATAATTGTCTTAAAAATTATGTTGTTTAAAGTTTCTTAAATATTAATATATTTAAAGTATACACATGTTGTAATATATTAAAGTCAAAACAATATTGGAATGCTTTTGAATTATCTAAGTTAATTAATTTAAATGTTTACTCCCATTAAATCTTCAATCCATGGAATATTTTTACTAATCCCGTAAGCATGATGTTTTGTTATTGTAATCAACTTATACTCTTCTTTTAATTAATAAATAATTTAATATCTATATACAAAGAGGTCTTTAATAATATATGATTTTTTTGTCAGATACTATTTTATTGTATAATTTTCCTGCGTACTATAAAACTTTATTTGAATATTGCAGCTTATAATATAATATTCCCTAAATAAATATATCTCGTGTCTCGCACTGGTCCTGTACTATATGTATCCCGTATATTTTTTTATTCATTTATATAATTATAAGACTGAATAAATAACCTTAAAATTGTGCACCCCGTGCATCGCACGGGCTCTGTACTAGTATATATAATTTATAATAATTTAAACATTTGTACTTATGCACATGATCGAACGAACACAGCTGAAAATTCGGGGGATAAAGTCCCGAAACAAAAAATAGCATAAGTTGCGGGGATAAAAAGTTAATAAAAATAAAATAAACAAAAAGAAAAGAAATCCCGCCTCTTTCCCAGCAAGGGTTTCAATCGCCCTCCCAATTCATTTTGTTCGCAGAGGAAAATTCCTCTCACTACAATCGCAAATGGCGTCGTCTTCATCTTCTTCGTCTGTAGGGCCAGAGATCCCGTGGGTGGAGAAGTACCGGCCGACTAAGGTGGCGGATATCGTCGGCAACGAGGACGCCGTCGCCAGGCTCCAAGTCATCGCCCGTGACGGGAACATGCCCAACCTCATTTTATCAGTAATTTTTCAGCTCAAACTTTTTTATTTTCTATGTTTCTCCTGTTCTTCTCCCCTGCAAGTTGTGTGTAGTTAGAATTTTGAAGTGTAGAGTCCACTGCAATATGGATACTGAAGGTAGAGATTATTTTTACTTCAACTGTGGCGCGGAGAGTGTGTAGGTTTTGATGTGTGTGATTTTTGTTTTGAGGAAACTGAGCTCTTAATTAGCTGCTTATCCGAGTTGTGTCGCGTGCTTAAGCATTTGCACCTACTTTTAGTGTTAACTGATGATGTTTGTATTTTAATTCAATGAGAATATACATTGTGATGATGGTGGGGTGACAATTTTTAATGTATTGGAAAGCTTTGGTGCTTAGGCTTTTACTCGAGTGAAAAATGATGATTGTTAACTCTGCGTGTCTGATCTTGGTGCATTGAGGGTTTTAATTGCTAAATGATGTATTAACATAATTGACCTAAATTTTTTTTTTTTTCTGACTAAATAGTGATGTGCTCATCGATTCTAGGACATGTTGCCATACAAGTGTGCATTAGGAACAGCATGTAATTAAACTTGATGTTTCATATCACTTGTTTTATTTTCCTGTAGTGTTGTCATGAAATAACAAAGATGGTGGCGTCTTTCTTACCTTTCCCCACTTTCTCTTGAAGAAATTTGAATTCGGTGATGGTGATGAGGGAATTAATTTGATACCTTGAAAGATAGAAATTAGGATAAAGTCCTATGAAGAGTTATGGCAACTCACAAAACATTTTTATGCTTATGCAGGGTCCTCCTGGGACTGGTAAGACTACCAGCATATTAGCTCTTGCTCATGAACTTCTGGGACCAAATTACAGAGAGGCGGTTTTAGAGCTAAATGCATCAGATGATAGGTATAAGACTCATTTCATCAGTTTTCTGCTCTCTTAATGTACATCTATTGTGCTTTTTCATTGAAAGATTTTTCTCTTTTCACTTGTACAGGGGTATTGATGTTGTGAGAAACAAAATAAAGATGTTTGCTCAGAAGAAAGTTACTTTGCCTCCAGGAAGACACAAAATAGTAATTTTGGATGAGGCTGACAGGTGAGTCATGTCATTATTTTTGTTCCTTATGTCAATGAAAGATCTAGATCTTTTATACTTGTGTGTATTTTAATGAACTATCTTGACATTTAGGTCCTATGTGACTTACTATCCACAAAATTAATCTGCTCTATTCATATGTAATCCTCTGATTTATTTGAATATGTTGACTTGTACTCGTTGTGAATGTTGCCTTTTTTGATAAAATAAACAGCATGACATCTGGAGCTCAACAAGCCTTGAGGAGGACTATGGAAATATATTCTAATTCCACACGCTTTGGGCTCGCTTGTAACACTTCTTCGAAGATTATTGAGCCTATTCAAAGTAGATGTGCCCTTGTCCGGTTTGCTAGGTTATCTGATCAAGAGATCCTTGGACGTCTCATGGTAGTGGTTGCTGCAGAAAATGTAATACCCTTTTCATCTCAGATTCTTTTGTCGCCTTACGTCATCATTAATTTCTAGCATTATTCCTGTATGTGGTATCTTTTGTCCAAGTGATAAACATATAACACAGTTATTCTTGCCTAGGCTGCCATGCACAGAGTTTGGTTGTTTCTCAACTTTTGAACTTGCATCATTTGAGTGTGTCATGAAATAAATGGATGACACATGATGTTTTATAATTCCTCTTTCAAAATGCTCGAAAATTTGCCTGGCTCTGATAACATTTAGATCAAACCCATGTTGATGTAGGTACCTTATGTTCCTGAAGGACTTGAAGCAATCATCTTCACTGCTGATGGAGATATGAGGCAAGCATTGAATAACTTGCAGGCCACAAACAGTGGATTCGGGTTTGTGAATCAAGAAAACGTCTTCAAGGTCACAGGCCATGAAAACCAACAACATTCTATAGTTAATTTAAGTACTTCACATTCTAACCTCTAATATTCATGGGCACCAGGTTTGTGATCAACCCCATCCCTTGCATGTGAAAAACATGGTGCGCCAAGTAATTGAGGGAAAATTTGACGACGCTTGTGCTGGATTGAAGAAACTCTACGATTTGGGCTATTCACCTACAGATATAATTACTACCCTTTTCCGTATCATAAAGAATTACGATATGCCTGAGTATTTGAAGTTGGAATTCATGAAGGTTTGGCAATGTCGCTATTAAATCTTCTACTCTTTCTTTTTCCTTTTTTTCCTCCCCATTGGATGCTTTCTCTTTCTTGACTTTAAAGTATTAATCCCTAGGTCACTGTATTTAATTTGTAGATTGTTTTGGTGGAATTGCAACTTTTTTCACCAAGTTAATTGTCCTTTTCATTTTTTTCAATTTACATTGTTAGTGAGATCATAAAAGGATGTTCGAGCAGAGAAAGTTAACTAGTTATTGTAAAAGCATGAAATCTGAAAACCAATCCTTCTCTTTTATGATTTCATAACTTGGCTTCTATTTTTCGTGGTATACAGGAAACTGGATTTGCCCACATGAGGATTTGTGATGGAGTTGGTTCGTATCTTCAGTTGTGTGGTTTGCTAGCAAAGCTTGGACTGGCGAGGGAAACAGCTAAAGCTGCTTGATTCGTTAGTTACATTTGTGCTTTCCATTTTGTGAGTTGTCATGCAGTGTTGGTAGTTTACTGTGAAGAGTCGATTTAATGTTTGGTGACGAGCAATGGATGGATGCATACTGACATTATCTATTGTAAACTATGCGACAGAAATTTAGGCACGCCATGTGGATCGGGCTATGTGGTGCAATTAGGATGCTTTTGAATGGAATTTGTTCTTTGAATCTGAGATTGTATATTTTTCAAAACATCTCGTAATATAATCTCAACTACCCTGTTTGAATGAAGTCGAACTAACTTACTGCAAAAAGTTTATTAAACAATTCAATGGAATTGATAGTGATGATGACTGATGAGCACTTCAAAATTGGTTTGAATATTTTGATCAACATGAATTTAGACTGGCACAATGAATCTCACTTTATGTAATAAACCCAGTGATTAAATCTTAGGATTGAAATTTATTCATATAATAACTTGAAAATCAAATGATTCCTTATAGATTATTCTAAAAGACCCAAACTATTGCGTCCTTAGAACAAGCAAAATACATGAAGAATTTTTTATTTTTTTTTTTAAAACCCAATATGTTGTAGTTTGCTTGTTTGTTTGCATTTCATCATTATGTTAAATAA